TTTGAACATCCACTGATATTATTAATTTTACAATACTCATACAACTCTGATTTAGTATATTCTTTGTTATATTTGTCTACCAATTCTTTTCTAGTTAAATTATACTTATCTGCAGCAAATGATTCCATTGACTCAATTTTGCCTTTTAGATTAATAATGAAAGATTGCTTACAAATAAATTATTAATTTAATGACTTTTTAATAAACTTTCATAACAAATAATATTATTTATTAAACACACCGTCTCATATCACTTACTAACGACTAATGAAACACTACTGTTTTATGATCGGCCCTCACTCACCAAAGGACCCATCGCTTGGGATTTATTCAAAACTAATCTTGACAATTTAATAGATCTTAGAGTTTCACTTAAAACACAAGACCAAGTCGAAAATGCAGCACAAAACTTAGTTGAAATAATAAAAAAAGCAGCTATTTTCTCAACTAAACCTACCCCCGTCAATTCACAACCCCAAAACATTCTCCCTTTCAACTTACGACTCCTTTTAAACAAAAAAAGAAATGCGAGATCTACATGGCAAAATTCTCGTCTCCTTAGCGACAAAAAAATATACAATCACCTATCAAATTTTCTAAAAAAAGAACTTATCAAGCACAAAGCCATACAGTACGAGAATTATATCAACTCTTTAGAACCCACTCCCAATTCTTTATGGAGAGCCACAAAAAAATTAACTAAAATCCGAGAAATCATTCCACCTCTCCTCAAAAGTAATAATTTGCTAGCGTCAACAGACGAAGAAAAATCCCTTATCTTTGCCGAACACTTAGCTAATACATTCAAGCCCCACCAAGACATTTTTCCGAATCCTGAACACTTGAGCCAAGTTAATGAGTTTATCTCTTCTCCCCTACCAATGTCTCCTCCTATAAAATCGATTTCACCCAACGAAATTTTTTGTCTTATCAAGAAATTACCAGCACGTAAAGCACCTGGGCATGATCTAATCACAAACAAAGTCTTAAAAAACCTGTCAAAAAAATGTATCCTCTCATTAACACATATTTACAACTCAATGCTGCGGCTTTCTTATTTTCCCACCATCTGGAAACATGCGGTCGTAATAGTTATACCAAAAGTAGGAAAACCAAAAAACTTAGCTTCATCATATAGACCCATCAGTCTCTTACCAACGCTTGGAAAATTGTTCGAAAAATTGATTCTTCTCCGAATTCGACCCATCCTACACGAGCATCAAATCATACCTTCCACCCAGTTTGGTTTTCGGCCAGGACATTCCACTATACACCAAGTCCATCGGCTCACTGACTCAATTGCCTCTGCCTTAGAAAAAAAGCAATATTGTGCTGGACTCTTCCTGGATATTGCCCAGGCCTTCGATAAGGTCTGGCACGACGGGCTATTATTTAAATTAAAAAAATTCATGCCAGCTCAATTATTTTTAGTTATCAAATCTTTTCTAGATAATCGAAGTTTCACTGTTAGACAAGGAAACTTCTTTTCGCCCCGATTCAGCATCACTGCAGGAGTGCCCCAAGGTAGCGATCTAGCGCCTGATCTTTATAATATTTACACTGCCGATATTCCACAAACTTCCAACACACTATTAGCCACTTTTGCCGACGACAAAGCCCTATTGTCCACAAGCGATGATATTTCTTTAGCTGCACACAATCTACAACATCATACTAGCCTAATCGAAGCCTGGTGTAAAAACTGGTTGATAAAAATAAATGAAAACAAGTCAACTCAAGTCACTTTTACCCTTCGCCATGGCAACTGTCCCTTAATTAAATTAAATAACGTGAATATTCCTGTCAGTAATGAAACCAAATATCTCGGCATAATACTTGACAAACGCCTAACTTGGGATCCTCACCTAAAAAATAAAAGAAAAATAGCGAATAGCAGACTCCACCTTTTTCGGCCTCTCCTAAAATCCAAACTAAAACTAAAACTTAAAATACTTTTATACAAAACCGTTATCAGACCACTATGGTCCTACGGTATTCAAGTTTGGGGGCCAGCCAAACCTTCAAACATCCGCCCTATCCAGTCATTTCAAAATATAACCCTTAGAATCATCACTGGTGCTTCCTGGTATGTAACGAATGAATCTATTCATAATGACTTACAAATCGAAACAGTAAATAAACTTTCAAAACGTCACTATAAATCCTTTTACATAAAACTGCCATCGAACATTAATCACCTAATTCAAAAAATGTCCTCAAATCTTATCCCTGACCAACTTCCACGTAGACTAAAAATAAATTGGAATCGTGACCTACTACTCTGAAAAAAAAAAAAAAAAAAAAAACAACATCAACTATACAATCATCCTTGCTACACCTAGATATATAATACAATACAATAAAACCTAAATATTTGTGAGGGGTATTACCAGTGGGTGACTTCCCCTATCATGTGAATCATGTTATGTTCATTCTAACTATTAGCATAATGACTTATTGTACAGATTATGTGTATAGATTGTCTTTTTATTATTAATAAAAAAAAAAAAATATTTTTTGCTAGGTGTCCATAATTTTAAATTATTGAATAAATTTGCATCACAATATGCTCATGATTTATGGGTTGTATAGTATAATTTACAGTGTTGCACGTATTTTGCACAATTTCTCTCTTTATCCTTTAGGAATTTTTTTAGAGGGGAGTAAACATTATTATCATACAAATTGTTTCCGCTACGTATAGAATATAAATTGATAATACAAGTGATTACACATGTTTTATTCTTATTTTTTTATTTTTGAAGTAAAACTTCTTTCTTGAGGTTTGGGGGGAAAAATAAATTGTCAAGACAAATGAAACGACACAAAAAAATGAAACGCAAATATGGTGTATGGATGAGTGTGTAAAAGTGCGACAGAAATCACTTGAATGGTTAAATGTCATATGTGCGAGTGTGATAGGGCGTTATTTTTTGAGTGTGTTCTCTTTTTTTCTATTTCTACTGTCCTCTTGTGCGGATCTTCGTATTCTGGGATCACTTGTGGAGGAGCACTGAGTACGGGGCATGCAGGCATTATACGCGCCTATGCATTTGTTGCTTGACTACTTGCAGTGAACACTTATATACACAGCGTCGTATTCGTAGTACAAAAAACACACCCAGATATATATATGTATATGCAGTGCTCGATTTAAGAGGGGACGCACGGGGGTACCCAATTAATTTCCATACATTTTAGCGTCTCCCTACTAATATTACGTTATAATTATAACACTTAACAAGTTTTGGGGATGCTCTTTTTTTTAAAGTAAATAGAGTCCCCCTTCTTTAATCTTGCCAAGTCGACCACTGTGTATATGTATGTATGTATTTTGTGTACGTAAGTTTTTATAGAGACAGTTGTTACACATTTGTTGTTTTTATATAAATCTGAAGGAAAAAAAATGTCTGCTCAATTTTGTTTACCGGTTTATATATATGTTATTAATAAGGTAAGATTCTTCATACATTATGATTTAATTATTTTACTGAAACTAATATTATACCAATGTATTAATAATTTTTTTATTTATGGGATACCGGCATCAGAAAAGTGAGGTTACAAAAGTGTATTGGTAGTTATTGAAAATGTTTTTTGTTGTGTCAATCTTTTTATTTATTTATCAATTCTTTACACGATATCTTCATGATGTTTATTCACAAAATTATATTTCCTACTTTAGTTACCATTAAACCAATAATAACTGTTGTACCGATAGAACCATAAAATGACAGAATGGAAATACAAAAAATATCATTGAAAAATTGATTACCATTAATAAACATACTTTTCTTTCTTTTTTTTAAATTAAATATTTTCAGTGTGTATACTATGTATTTTTTTTTTTTAATGCTTTTTTTCACTTTCTCCCTAATTAGGGATCCCAGGTTTATTTTTTAAAAATACGGGACATTTTAAACCATACCTATACTTGTAATTTACATTGGTGTTAATTTAGGGAGGGGTGAGGGGACTTATGTTAACAATTATCATATTACAAAATTAAATATATGATGTTTGTTGTACAAATTCTTTGTAAATATTTGGTATTTAAAATTACGAGTACATATGTCCTTCATGTAAAATTTAATTTTCTTCATAATTACTCGCAATAGTTGATACTTGAAACAAATATAAATTATAATTAAAAACAAATAATTAGATGACTTTCCTATGATAAATGTATTTATTTATAAAAAAATATATTAAGGAGACTTTTCTATACTAAAAAAAATCATAAGAGATAATTTTTATTTGTTTTTCAGATTTTTGTTTTTATAATCGAATATTATTAATTATCATTTGATTTAGATATTATATTTTTTAAATAATTTAAAATTTAAAAAGCTAAATTATTTGAAAAAATGTAATTTTTAAATTTAGGTTGGGATACTGGGACACTTTATTCAAACACGGGACAATCCCGTATTTTACGGGACGTATGGAATCCCTATCCCTAAATCACTTATAATTTCGCGGGTCCCAATACTTATGAAGAAGTTTTTACTCATGCTTTATTGTAAGTATTTTTTCCAACTGCACAAATAAAATATATGTTACACCGTTACAGAAATAAGTGAGGGGATCACACTAAATAAACTAAACTATAAAAAAAACTTAACGGGAAAAATTGTCAAACTAATTTTATTATGAATTATTCAGTAAATAATTAGTTATTAAACACAATAATATTAATAACAGAAAGAAAAGCATTAGAATCATTTTAGATGTGGTCCTAGAGACGTATGCAAAAAAATAAGCTGGATGAAAAGAAAAAGTAACCATGATGTACTGGAAATAGTCAACGAGGAACGTTCATTAATGGATTCAATTAAGAAGAGAAGATAAAAGTTGATAGAATATACATTAAGACATCCTGAAGAACTGCATAGTACTATACTAGAGGGCATGATTGAGGGAAAACGCTAACCTCGCAACATTTTTTCAGAAAAATCAAAAAGGATGCAGGAGTTGGAAGCTTTAGGGCATTTAAAGAAGTAGCGAGTGACCGTGAAGAATGGAGAAGGATAGTTGCAAAACAACCAACGGGTTGAATAAAAAAACATAATAATAATAATATTTTTAAACATATTTATGAATGAAAATTATTGTTTAAAATTATCTGTATTTGGAATGTGTTTCCGCTTTATTATTTTCAATATCTTGTAAATCTCTTTTTTGATCTTGAGTTTGAGATGCTTCTGCGAACACTCCTTTAAACTATGTTCACGTACCTTAGTAGTTTCTATTACTCGGCGACATGTTTCATTAGTCCATGATAAAACGGCATATCATGTTGTATTTTGAGATTAAATTCGTTGACGTTCACATTTTTTGCTGCTCGTGTCACAGTGTTTGTGACTATACTTCTCTAAAACGGCTTAGCCGATTTTAATGAAATTTTGAATATACATTTGGTAGGTCTGCAAATAGGTTTTTATCTATTTTTATATTCATAAATGCTATTGTTTAATAAATCGTAGTTTAATTTTATAATTTTTGACCTGGTCGATAACTGCACAATCGAAAATAAATTATAAAATGATATTATTAAAAAACTATTAAAAATTATTTAAAAACTATTAGTTTTATTTTTGGTATTAAATGACGGGTATTGCAGAAATATTAAACAGCAAGATCCCGCAACAGGTGCCAAAACAAATAAGAATGTTAGTTCGAAGGATTAATATGCATATGGGTTGATGATTAGATACAATCAAGACAATGTTATTCTACGATGTCTTGAGCTTGGTCAACAATTTATGATCGACATGTATGTAAAGATAGAGAGCGGACGATTTCGATACTTGCGATTCAATCAAAAAAAGCTGCGTGTGGAAGATTCTCAAAACAATTGTTAGATATCAGTTATGGGAAAGTTACTACAGATAAAACGGGATGCATACAATTACCGACCGATTTCTGCACAATCATTGATTCGCAAGATGCTCTAATTGATCAGATATTTCCCAATGTACACAGACAATACACAAATTATGAGTGGCTGGCAGAAAGAGCAAAGTTTTAATATATATATATATATGTATAGTATATATACTATATATAATGTAATTTGTATATAGTGATGTTACATATATATGTTCGTATATTTTCAGCGGAATCAATATATAAAAATATTCGGCGTAATCGATAGGTTTCTTACAAGTAAAAAAACCTTTTAGGCGGAGTCGATATACGCCCCTAATTAAAAAAATAATTAAAAAAATATAAATAAACAAACAAAAATTAAATTTAAATAAATATTAAACCAAAAATACATGTAGTTATTCTACAAGTAGATAGTTCAAATGGAAAATGTTATATATTTCATAGTTATAAAAATAATTAGTTAAAATACAAATTATAATTTTATAAATAATCAGATTTTAAATGTGTTATACAACCAATACTATTTTATAATTTATAGTATCATTGCAGTACATAATTTTGTAATCGTAATACAATAATTTTGTTATAATAAAAATATTAAGATATATCATAAATATATTTATATATTAACTTCACAATTATAAATTTTAATTGCATTTTAATTCTTAATTACAATTGCTGAATATCAAATCCTTTCTGCATCATGTGTGTGGGATTAGAAAGATTTACATCATATATTTGACCACCAAAGAGTACACTCTTTGTAACACGGTTAATAATGAAAAATCCAAAAGGCTTATTCACATTTATTATTACTGGAGCCGTGTTTGGTGAATAACTTAAAGTCATAACAGTGAGTGCTGCAAACAAATGCATAATATTAACAACTAATAGTTATTATTTAGTAATATCTTATAGAGTACATAAGTAATTTTATTATTAATCAATTGAATTACCAGCCTCGCATGGGAAATGTTTTACTATTATACCATATTCATAAGAGTCAACTACCTGACGACGTGACGGATACTCGAGTATCGTCTGTTTGAGTTGCTTGTTAATAGAATACCCATAAGCAACCCATTGCCTCACACTGAGCTACTCTAAAGCGACGAAATCTTTTCATAAGAGTAGATATAAATAGGGGGTTCTGGGCCAACCTCATTCGACCAGCCACCGCCGCCCTATCGTTCACATGACCTATTTATATTATACCCCTATACTATTTTTTTTCAATTTTGCTCCTTTACATAACATCCTCTTTTTTTCTTCCATTATTTTTCTCTTTATACTTCCCCTCATACATATATTATAATACTATATCATTTAAAATAATTTAAGACTATATAATACCCCACTACGCCTTCCCTTCATAATACTATTATAATTTTATTATTTAAAATAATTACAAGATTATATAATACCCCGCTATACCTTCCCCTCAAACATGTATATTTTACCGAAGTAGATAATACTATATTACTTAAAATCATTTTAAGACTATACTTAAAATAAGACTATTTAAAATTATTACAACTATAGTACAATGTTCGAATACATAAAGCGCTAATGAGTACCTACTGCTCGTCTCATTATCAGAAATGTTAAAGTATGCACGTATAAATACCATCGATTTATTAATCGATATTAGAGAATCAAATAGAAATTCTCCATTTACAATAATAATATTGTTTAATATGTTATTATGTTTCATATGTTTAAGACCATATTATTTAAAATTATTACCACAATAACACAGAGTTGTAAGAATTGGTCACCTAATAGTAATTCCCAAGGCCGTATTTGGGGGTCCAGACACCCTGCCCCCCCCCAAATGTCTTCAATATTTTACAATGTGAAGTAGTAGATCATGTTGAGACGGTTTTAAGTGAAGTGGAAGATATGCGAACAAATATTAATGAAAATTTCAAAGAAATATTTAATAAATCAGAACAATTAGAGGATATTGTTAATTCTACATATATTTCTCTAATAATATATATATCTAATAATATAGTATATAGTTAATTGTTCACATCTGTGAACAAGGAAGAAAAAATAAAAATACCAAGATTAGTAAGTCGTTCAAAAAATAGAAGAATAAATGTGGATACCAAAATTTCTGAAGATTATTTTCGTATTGCAACTGCAATTCCATTCTATGATAATTTTATTATCAACTTAAACGATTTTATCGTCATTGTATTTATTAATAAAAAAAAATCTGTTTGACATCTCCTATTTTAGAATCAAATTTTAGTTTATATTCAGATTTTATAAATGTTGACACATTACCTTCAGAACTAAAATTGTGGAAAAGAAAAAGGATTATTTTCAAATATGTAGATCGTCCACATACAGCTGTAGAATCATTAAATTATTGTAATCCTAAACTTTTTCCAAATATTAATTTTTTATTAAAAGTACTAGCTACATTACCGGTTTCTACAGCAACTCGCAAACGAACTTTTTCGACATTCAAACGCGTCAAGATATTTTTACGGAACTCTAAAGGACAAGAAAGACTATCTGGGCTAGTTATATTAAATGTCCATATAGATGTTACGGTTAATCTCGATGAAGTGTGAACCAGTTTGCTCTTCAAAAAGGTAGGAACATATTAATAGTTTAGAATAATATAATTTGTATTTCTTCATTTTTTATTTTTATTTCTTAATTTTATATTTCATATTTACCAAATGATAGTGTCACTAATGGGTGGCTGCTTTCCTCAAACGTAACATGTTCCTCCTATGTATAATTTATTATTAACTGTTTATTTAATATTTATTTGTAAACAATACTTTATATATATATTCTTGTATTATATTTAATTATTATGACCTAAGAACAGATTGAAAATATCTTATAAAAAAAAAAATTTCATATTTGTATAGTATGAGGTCACAAGATATCAAAGTAATTTTCTTTATTTGATTTTATTATATTTTAATAATAGAAGATTCAATATTTTTCTGTTTTATTTTTAATATTTGAGACATAAGTTTTATAACATCGTATAATGATAAAATCTATCTACAGTAGAACCCGTTTAAGACGCTCTCCAAGGGACCAGTTACAAATAACATCTTAAGCGGGAAATCGTATTACGCAGAAACAAAAAAATTTTATTATATTTTACAATACATCCATGTTATATACATAAAAATTATATTTTTTACTTTGCAGAGTGAATTATTACATTTATATTACCAATTTTAAAAAATCGTCTATCTTTCATTGTTTCAAAGTTGGAAATAACCTATATAAAATAAGTATGGAATAACCATAACAATTTACAGACATCGTTCAAACTACCATCAACATGTTCTATATATACAGCCGAAGAAATTGCTATACCTACTAATAGCCATAAAATACATAAACAAAAAAGTAAACCAAAAATATATTATACTAAGTGATTCATTAAGCTCCCTCATTAGTGTGGAAAACAAATTTAATCCTAGTGATATAGCAACTCAAATTCCAAACAGACTAGAAGAAGCAAAAGAAAAAAATAACAATACAATAATTATTTGGATACCTGGACACATAGTAATAATAGGTAACGAAAAGGCAGATAAACATGCCAAACTAGCTATAAACTCAACGAATTCACAATATATCAACATCTCCTCATTCACAGATATAAGAAAACAGATAAAATAAGACACCACTTTAATTTGAAAAAATAAATGGAACATCCAAACCAACAAATTAAACCAAGTCAAACAAACGGTCGAAAGATAAAAAAAAAATCCAAATATTAGCTAGACAAATGAAAAAAAAACTAAATCGGGCCAAAATTGGCCACACAAGACTTACTTTCATGGATACTTAATGAAAAAAGATGACCCACCAATATGCCAATCATGTGGTTCTACAATCACCAACACATCTACAAAGAATGCAGAATGTATGAAAAACAAAGAGAGGAACTCAATATAAGCCACCAAATTGGAACAAGTCTAGGCCCAAATTCATAAAATTCATAAAACACTATAGAATTTTTTAAAACCATTAATTTTACCAATTACCATTACCAAAATTAAAAATATTGTTTACCATTTTTTTTTTTTTTTATTTATAATTTATCTAATTATTGTTTTTTTTTTTTATTCCTCTTTATAAATGTAAATAGTATACGAATGTAATGCTAATGACCATAGCAGTCGAAAAAAATAAATTTAATAGATTTCAAAAACAATAAAAAAAAAAACTGTAAGCTATCAGCTCCACTTGATCCAGAAACCAGGGGCGGCTTCAGAGCCTTGGTTGGGGGGGGGGAGTTATAATTTTACATAATCTTATAACAAAAAGAAAATAACAATTTTTACAACACAAATTCAAATCGTCTATTTTTAAAACAGCGGCAAATATCCAATCTATAGAGTCTACGTGGAGATGTGTCAAAGTAAAATATGGCATAAAAACACGTGGTGCCACTAACTTATTGGAACGGCAGTTGATGGAAAAGTGGTGGCGTTCAATCAATGCATCAAAGAATCTTTTTGACCAGTTTTTTGAAGACATGAAAAAAAGTTCATTAATATAATAATACCCAGATGCCCAGACCAGTAGCGCAATCAGGAATTTTTCATGGAGGGGGGGGTCTGACAAAATAAACTAAAATACAAATAATAAAAAATTATAATATATATATCTAGAATATGATATTAATATACTATTATACGTACCAAGGGGTGGGGGGGTCCAGACCCGGAGTCCACCCCCCTGGTTGCGCCACTGGCCCAGACGACACCTACAATCTACAGATTGCGGGGTAGAAAATTGTAGATAACATACAACGCCAACAAACAATTGTGGTAGATACATTTCTCGTGTAGATAGCATACGACGCGAGTTCCCAAAAAATAATTCGTCTGAACATTGGTGGAAATACAACTGGTATTGTACGAGTAGGGACATCTTTTAATAATACCGTCACTTGGTATATAAAAAGAATATTAAAAGTATTTTAAATTATTCGGCGTTCCTCATATCGATCAAATTGGAGCTACTAGACATTTTGAAATCATCGGCTCAACCAGAAAAATTCAATTTAAAATTAGAAGCGATATACAACAGACCACATATCGAAAACTAGTCCGTCAATAGAGCTTTTAAGACCTATGCCAGGGCGATTTTCTCGGATAGTAATATTGAGGAATGAAAATATTCGAAAAAAATAATACGACTACATTTGTAAATGTATACAGACTCGAGAAACATTTCCAACCGCCATTGAAATTTCCCATATATAAAGTCTTTCCGTTGAAAGTAGTTGATGAAGAGAAGGAAGAACATTTCGATCTCCTATTAATATCCGATGGTGAAAAAACACATTATTATACCTATATACCTATCAAACTTCTCTTCATCAACTACTTTCAACGGAAAGATGTATACTTATAAATTTCTTTATATGTAGGGAATTTTCTAGGGGGTGATTGGAAATTTCTCTCGAGTCCGTATACATTTACAAAGTAGCCGTATTATTTTTTTCGAATATTTTCATTTCATTCAAAGGTTATGGGAATGTCAGGCTGCTGAAATTATATTTATCTTCATGCATAATATTATTATCATTGACCCTATGTTTTTTCTCTCCTGTGACATGTTTAGTCAGAAAAGCCCACTTGAAGCACTATTCGTCCGTGTTTTGTGGGATAATGATAACTTTTTTATTTTCGGTTTCCAGCACGGACGTCCGATCTAAACCCGACGCCAATAAATGTGATTTGTCAGATATAAAATCAATGTGATAATATTTTTTTAAAACCGAGTAGTCTCCTGCCTGGACCAGTGGGAATTGACTTTAACTCTTCCCTCTAATGATAAAAGACAGTGGCGTATTTATGGGTATGGTATTGGTTTTCGACCCCCCCCCCCCCGAGAATTTCCAGACTTCAAATTTTTAAATTTCGGTTAATTTGAAGTTTTTTAATTTTGTAAATTCGAATAAAAAAAAATGTTATTAATTTTATAAAACTAATAAAACCAGGATACGAAAATATTGGTGTTTTTGATTGTGCAAGTCAAAACACATTATACACTTCACAGGCTAATGCCTATTGCTGTAGCCTGTAGTTTGCAGAAAATTGTTATTTATTAATTATAGAGATGGTAAGATAAAAATCACATTTTGTTTCAGAAGACTTGATGGCTTTACCATGTTATCGATTCATCCAAATTTAAGTATTATTCCTGACAGAGTTATTGAAAAATTGACAAAAATATTAAAGAATTAAGTTTATAGAATAGAGTTTATCGTAAAGTTTATAATTAATAAAATTATGTTTTTCAATAAGAAGATAATAAAACAAATAAAAATGTAATTTTGACCATTTTATACTGATTTATAAAAAAAATGTATGAAGACATCCTCCAAAATTTTTTTTTGAAAATACGCCACTGGTAAAAGTATTAAATTTTCATTAATTTCAACAACATTGAATTAATTTCTTTGTAGATATAACATTTTAATGTTAATTGATAAGCTACAAATATAAAATAATATATTTTTCATCATTTTTAACCCTTTAGCCATTATTTAGGTAACTCCTACTTAATCGTATATTGAAATTACTAAAATGTTGATACTTATTCATCAGTAATTATTTATTAATATAATAAAAGAACATGCCATTAATTTCAATAAAATACCTGTTACTGCGCTGGCTTTTGAACCTTTCTCATTGACTTCAATTGTTACTTTATGTATGACATCCTTTACGAAGACTTGAATAGCAGGATCAAATATCAATGATAGATTTGCTTTTTGACCAAATATTGATGTTAACTTCATCTTATTAAACAATATATCAAAAAAAGTTATTGAAAAATTATACACAAATATACAGTTAAGAATAAGATTAATTATTAAAATATATAAAAATCATAGATAAGAGTTTCATCTATAATGTATATAAATATATGAAAATTGATATATTATAATACTTATTAAGAAACTTAACATTTTCCTCATACCTAAATGATGATAAAATGTTATGATTAAATAAGTGTTTTTTTCTCTTTTTTTTTTAATAAATTTTGATTGAAACAATGAATGTATTGGTTGTACCATGTTGTGTGTTATCAAAGACTAGTACTGTATTAGAATGGTAAGTATATCTCAACCAAATAAGTATAAGTAAATGCAGTGTCGGATCTAGGGCAGGGAAGGAAGTGAGTATACTTACCCTAAAGCACTGTTGAGTACTAAGGACACTCTTAAGCTAATTAACAATAAAAAAATTCATCATCATACCCCATACTTCTACCTAAGTAAGAACACTTAATTTTTATTAACCCCGGGAATCAAATTTCCTAGATCTGGCAATAAGTAAAGGAGGCCCATAAAAACTCTTGGTACCTCAATTTTTCGAAGTAAGGAATTACTATTTCTTTCGCTACATAAACAACTTCAACAAGAGTTACTGAACATTGTTACTTAATCATCTAAATTATTTTATTCACCAATCCCAATTTTTATAAGATTAATTAACAATAGTTTATTTTTATTTTTACCTTTTGAAGAACAGACATCAGTTTTGTAGAGTAATTAATATTGAATCTTGGCAAGTGCAAATTAACATTTCTTTTATGAAATGAAGAAAATACTTTTGAAAGAGGATAATGTTGTAGGTCTCTAAATAAGTTTGTTATGCTTCCATCTGGTAATAATATTATCATTGAAAAATTCGTATCCTATAAATAAAATTAAAATATATATATATATTGAATATTTAAATACATAAAATTGAATGTTTAACCATGTTATATTCATCCATTTATAAAAAAAACTTCTTGAGTTGATTGATAAACAGACGTTTTTAAAATCAAAAATTTAATACATTATTCTTTTAAGTTTTCATTTATTATTCTTTTTCCAGAATAGTTTTCAGTGCAAGATATAAATAAGACTCAAAAAAATTAGAATTTTAAAATACAATTTGTATCAGACTTCCTATAAAACAAGCTTACAACATAAAGTTTTTGTTAAAGACAACCAATTTATTCCTAAAAAGGTACTCTTTTATTTTTTTTTTTTCAAATAAAATTTAAAGTTTTAAGACTTTATATCTGACCTTAAAGTAGACTAACTTATAGAAAATTTATTCCAAGTTTATATTAAGTACATACACTAAAATTAATTATTGTTGAAAAATTTAGATTCTAAGATCCCTAAAATTGTTTAATTTCAATTGATTTTATAAAATTTGGATGTGATAATTAGGTTTTAAATATTATTTACATTAATATTTTTCAAAAAAGTTAAACATTGAAAAATCCATCCCCCAATTTTAAGAGGACATGAAACTTAAAAGCAGTGGTTCTTAACAATTTTTAAACTTCCTTTAGAAACAATTTTTTTTTTTTTTTTAATGCCACCTAAAAAAAAACTAACAAAAATAGTATGCTTGAAGTATATAATTTAAAATTAAAAATAAAATATAAATATACTGTTGAAAGTTTTAAATTATAAATTATAAATAATTATGATCAGCGGGATAGTTTTACTTGGTGCTTAAAAGCCAATTTTATTACTAATTTTAAAGATAAACGGATAAAATTATATAGTTTTATAACAATGACAAATAAGTCATGGCTCGAAGCCAAGCATAAAATCTGTATTTCAGTTTTTTTTTCTTCTATATTAAGTTTTGATGTTTATATTATATTATACACCACTTCATCGTCCACGTTTAGAACCACTACTCAAAAGTGTACCCCAAGTGTAATACTCCACAGACCGGCTATACAAGCTAAATTACGAGCGCACGTGAGTGCATGATGCATGATTGTGAAAATGTCAGTAAATCTGCAAATAAAATAATTATTTTTAATGATTTTTGGATAGAAAAACTATCTAGCTTAGAACATAAAGAAAACATGATGTAGAATTTTTACTTTTTCGATAACTTCAGTAAATAAAAATTATCTGATCATACATTTTTAGATTGTCTTGAAAAAAAATTTAAAAAAAACTATAATTAAAATGTGACAAAAAAATATTAATTTTAAATTAAAATAAAACATTACTTTAATAATTCACAAAGTAAATACAAGATTAATATTGTTAAAAATTAAACATTTGTTCAAAACACAATAATTCAGCAAAATTAATTTATTAAATTTAATTTCTCAATATATCTAATATTTGAATAAAAATATCATAACTTAAATAAATTATTATCAATATAAATTATTGAAAGAATATAAAGATCAAAAAAAATTCTTATTGCTTTCAAATTAAAAATTATATAACACAATTTATCAATCCAAACCTTTGAAAAAATTTAGATTCAACAGAAAAATATTTTTATAACTTATATATTTAATCATTTATTCTGAAATAATATGAATTTTTTTTTTTTCTAAATTAGATGTATGTCATTAATATAACGCAATAATTTAAAGACTTATCTAATAAATTGATTAAAACAAGCATCATTATTTTTATTGTTTTTTAGTGTTTTTATTAGATAATTTAGATAATTTCTAAAATGTTACTTAGATAAAAATGGATTCACAACCACAAGAGATTATGAGTCCCTACAATCTATTTTTGTTACATTACTTTTAATATTTTCAGATGTTTCAGATTAAATTCTGTATAAAAATATAAATTTTGATTAAAAAATATAATGTTATAGTTAGTTTTAAAATTAAAGGAGTTTAATTCATAGGCATCCAAAAAGTCCTGAATTTGCAAAAAAAAACAATTTTCAAAAACACAACATTTTTTTTTGATTCTACTCACTTACATGAGAATACTCTTGAAATTTGTTCAAATTAAGTTATTTACAATCTAAATATCTAATGGTTTACCACATTATACTAGGCACCTTGTAAAGAAGTTCAACTGCATGAGCATTAATAGCTGATATGTATTGGTATGACACATCATCATTTAAATACATCATATTAACTTTCACACACTCATTAGGTTTTGTATAGAAACATTCTTTTTTAGTGTTTTTTTCATTAAATTCCACTAACCAATCACCTTTGAAATAAAGGATGTTAGCCAATAAAAGTTGAGTGTTTCCATCAAAATCATCTATAAGAATTACATTTCTTAGTTTAGTAAAATATAACTGAACTTAATTATATCTCCAATAGTTATAGATAACTAAGAAAATAATATTACTGAAAAATACTAAAAATAGTAAAAAATATTAAGCATGAATATCAATAAAAATATTTTTAAATTAATACTCTCACACCTTTAGATATTATATTTTTGACAAGTCCTCTTGTATCTAACAAAATTTGTTTATTGATAAATTGTATTGATGCGTCAATATCATTGATATTAATTTCAGATATATTTGTTGAGTATAAATCCTTTGCAGTTTCTTTGAAATAATTTGATATCATTTTATTTTGAACAAAGATATTGTTGACAACTACCACATCCATTATGCTACTCTTTATAGATAACTGAGTTTGACGTAATAAATTATGCCGTGTCGATTGGTCATTTGGTAAACGTAATATATTATACAACTGATTCAAAGTATCTCCACGAGCTCCTTCTGACAGTAATGATAAAATTATTTTTATACTAATGGGAGAAGCTACAAAATTTGAATCAATTTCATAACTACTTAATTCCTATGAAAAATTAAAAAAGGAAATTAAATAAATTTATTAAAATAATTTAAATTCAGTAAATATTAATGTTTAATTAATTGCATACAATGAAAAATATAGTTAATAAAAATATTAAATTACACTTACTTCAAATAGTTCAGAATCAAAAAAATTAAATCGTTGGACATTATCATCTGATTCTAGATTCATTTTCAGATCAAGGTCATTTAATACAGCTATAATATAATATTAACAATAATATAATTATAAACTTATTAAAAATAATTAATGCACTAAATTTTTTTTAATATAAATGTTGACTGAATTAGTTATTATTATAAGAAATTTTTGCTGTTGATTTAAAAATTCAACAAAGTATCCTTAAAAAATGTAATTATGTACAAACATTTTGCCCAATATTTTGACATAAAGATTATATATATTAAGTAAGTAATTAATGATTTGCTGAAATTCCAACTTAATTTTACATCACATAATAAAATACTTAATAATAAGAATAGAACACGTAATTACTCAACAATTTTCAATGGCAACATGATAAATTTAAATTAATAATTCTGTGAAGATTTATAAAAATAATGCAAGCACATTAAATACTTAATTGTTTTTTCTATTATTATGATATTAATAATTCGGTAAGTGAGAATTTAAAGCAATTAAGCCTTGAGGTATCAGGCTTATAAATGAGGATAGGTAACCAGAAACCAATATTACTTTTAATATTTAAGTGTAATTGTAAAATTAATATATTTATTAATTTTAATTAATGTAAAAGTTAAATTTTATATTTTATATTTAATAAAAACCTAATTAGTAAGTGTACATAAATTAATAAAATATAATAATTTAACATAATTAACATATTTCAAAAACTAATAATTTAGAGTATATATTAAATCATGTGAGTTTTAAAATTAAATCCTTTAAAAAACATAAGTTACAAGTTCCTGTATTGAATCATAATTAGTAAGTTATAGTTTATTTAATATGGCAATTACGTTTCATTGAATCTGGAGTATGAGTCAAAGAATTAGAAACTTCAGGTAATCCTGATATAAATGGATTCATCACTTGTCCAACAAATACAATAGTTTGCATTTTAATATCTTCCAACATGAATAAAAATGGCCTGTTTACTTCAAAATGTTCAACTGATTCACCAAATCGGTTACCTACAGCAGCTTCTATAATGTACATAAATAACATTAATTTAAATAAAACGTAAAATTTTAATCAATCTTATAAAATCATTAGTCAAAGCCAATTGCATAAGTCTAGTTTTTTGTTAGATTTTAATTTCACACTACCAATTAAGGTAAAAATATAATTATTTCAGTTTCAGGTAACTAAAAAATATCAATTAGATTTATACAAATTAAAATTACAAAAAAACTGTGGATTAAATTTGGTGTTTACTATATTAAAAAAAAAAACAAATTATTTAAAAATGTAGAAAAGCTAACTATACTATTAATCAAACAAAGAATTAATTAATGTTTATTTTCATCTGTAAACGTTTTTTTTCAAAAGAAGTCTGCATAAAAAGTTTCAAATTATTGTTAATTAGTTCTGGACTGGTAGTAAATGGTAAGTATTATAAAAAGGGTATTTTCAATTTTTTTCACAGTAGTTTTTCAGTAAAAAAAAAAAAAAAAATATGTAAAATAGCAAAATAAGTCAAAATTTGATTTATTATTCAAAGTAAAATCAATTGAAAATAAAATAAGCCATTTATATTTGTGAAAATAATCAATGGTATGCAATAACTTAAACTTAATAAATATATTTGATTGATCCTAATTTTCAAATTTCAATTAAAATAAGCAAGATTTTTTTCTAGAATAATTTTTTAAACTATTAACACAAAAAAAAAAAAAACAATAAACAATTGATTGATAGAATCTAAAATTTACTACAAATTTATTTTAAATTTATCTTGAAAATTAAACATAATATATAACTAGTACAAACTGTATTTTTATTTATTTACTTATTTATTTAATCTAGATTTCTGACAAAATACAATAATTCACTCAGAACTCATAAAGAAATAATTTCTGAATTTATTTTTTAATTTTATTATATACTGTATAATATTTTTGTACCAATTTTATATTTGCACAAATTGGGCTTAAACAGTGTTTATAAGAAAAATATATCATTATGAATAAAATTATTTTATTAAATTATTTTAAATATTTTTATTTAATAATTATTTTAATAATATATATATATATATATAATAATATGATATATTTAATAATTATTAATAATTAAAATTTAATAATAATTATTTTATTATTAAAAATTTTAATTATCATAATCAAAGAAAAATAACTTAAATATTGAATAGACTAAACTTCTACGCTGTGTAAAACATATTTTCAAATAAAAACAAACTAACCAGTTATAGCATGTGCGATACTTCCTTCTTCATTTACTTCAATTCCAGCTTTTTGAAGAACACTAGATACCATAAGCTGACTACCAAATGGACCATACCCTAGTTTTGTTAAGTTTGCATTTTTTCCAAACATATCAGTAATCCCTAACTAATAATTATTAAAATCAAATATTTTGAATTAATACAGTATTAATTATTGCAAAACACATTATAATCAAAGACATAAACATTTGTAGCAAATTGTTGGCCAATTTATTTTGAATATTATATTCACAGAAATGTGCAGTATATGTTTATAATTTATTTTATTTTTTTTAATAAAAATATATATAATATTGAAACAAAATATCAAACCTTTTTTAATAATGGAGCAAGAACTGATGTATACTCAAAATTAAATTTCGGCAACACAACTTTTGAAAAAACTTTTGTCATATTTTTTATTGATTCACTTAGTATTGAAGGATTAAGATTATCAATCAAATTATCTAAACCATCAAGAGAATCTGGTAATATTATATACATAACAAATTTATCACCCTATAAAATAATAATTGGATGAGTAGCTGTTATAAAATTTATAAGTCATATTTTACTTTATATGGTAAACTTATTATTCGTGCATTCAATGACTTTAAAGTAGTAATATTAAAATCATTATAAGTAGTCATCAATGGAACATTAACTGTAGAATTAGAGTTCAAATAAAATGTACCAATCTTGGTAAGATTTTTATCAAATTGATTTTTCCAACCACCTTTAAAATATATAGCATTCAACAAAAGAAGAACAGTATTTTTATCGGTTTCATCTGAAATTACATAAATTTAATAAATCTATGTTAATATTAAATATATTTTCAGTTAATTACCTGCAGTTATTAACTCTTGTATATGTCCATGGGTCATAATTTGTGCCCATTGATTTATTAAATAAGCAGCATTTTCAGGTTTACTAAAATCTATTTTTTGGTAACTAGAATTGTATGTCTCTGTAATAGTTGCTAAAAACTCATCATTAAGTTTAACTGATGTATCAATAAATAATGTTGTACCAATATCCAATTCATAATCATCCTTAACATGATCCTAAATTATATAACTTAATTAAAAATTGAAAATTATTTCAACCAACAGGTTATATAATTATATAATATATAGTTATATATATCCATCATTACTTCATTTTTTTTTTTTTGTCAAAAAACAAAAAAATGATTAAAATATAAGAATATAAAATAGTATAATAAAGATAAAAAGGATGAGATTAACAATTAAGAAAAATACTTGGAACAATTACCTATGTTAAATTTTATTCTGAAATTCTTGTATAAATGTTAACTTAGAGTTATATGATTTGAATATTTTACACAATGCTAACATTAAGTCATTATACCGAGTTAGACAATTTTTTTAAAATTTTTAAAAAAATTGTTTTTAGTTTTTAAAATATGGTATTAATAATATTTTACAAAACTTATGGATTTATTTAATAAGAACCAATGTCACAAAATTAACTCTATGGACCATAGGCGTGTGCACGAGCAGTGGCGTATTTATGGAGGAGGAGGGGGGGGGGGTCCAAAATCCCAAAAAAAAAAATTTAAAAATGCCAAATTTTAAACATAACAGTAATATAAAAATTTTAGTTTGTTTATTCAATAAAGCAGGGGTTCCCAAACTTTTTTCCGCGATGCCTTTTTTTGGACTCAATTTAGCAACAGTGCCCTGCTGTGAATAACATGAGACAGGACAAAAAAAATACTCATAGATAACTAATTTTATTAATTTAATTAAAATTAAATTAATTATAAATTAATGAATTTTTAAACTTAAAAATTGAATAAATAAAAATTATTGTTATCATTATTATAATTATTACATAAAATATTATAAGATTAAAATGAGAATGTCCAAATATACAATAGAAAATATTTCATTATATGCTATAAAGTTTTTACAGAAACAATAAGGAAAAAAAACTAAACATTTTAAACTATTTGTTATGAACCGTAGACCACGGCGCCCTTAGAAAGTGCTCGCGGTGCAGTTTGTGAATCGCTGCAATAAAGTATTAAAGTAGGTATAATGAAAATATATATATGTATAAAAAAATATTAATATTGCTAATTATTAAATTGTAATCGGATAATAATAACAATCGACCGCACGGCACTCACATAGTAGGTATATAAACAATCTAATGTGGGGTAATCATAGGTCGATAAGAATATCAATATCTTAATCCATGACTGTCACGTCTTGTCAGTTTCATTATGCACTATGCGCAACATAAAGTAATATAGAATAGGATTAATACAATCATAAAATTATTTCGCTATTAGGTATGACACCCTCCCCCAAAAAAAAGTTTCTAAATACGACACTGCCCACAAGTGTGACTATTAGGGCTATAGCCTCACTTGAACCTTTTTTTAGGTAGGTACTAGGTACTTAGGTAAAAAAAGTTAATAACTATTTTTTTTCTCAATTTTATAAAATTTCAAAAAAAATAAAAATTTCCGGGACTGGCATTCATTGATAATCAGATTGTACATGAATTTTTCTAATAAATTTTATTTTTACTTACTTATGTTTTGTATATCTATTTTTTTTTTTAAAGAAAGGTTTTATAAGGGGGTGGGTGATCAAGAAAAATAAAAAACCACACCGAAAACAGAAATCTACTCACACCTAAGCTATGGACAATGCCCAATATTAATGTCTAATATAGTAGTCTCAAACATACAAACCGCAATAAACATACATTTTGAACAAAAATGTTTACGCATCATAAATACATAAAATATTATCTGACGTTTGTGTTTTATTTTTATATTAATTGTTCAGAAATCCTATTATAGGTAGGTACTCAATAAAGTATTTGAAATGCAGTAAATATAATCAAAGATAAATATAATTTGTTTTTCGGTGTAGGTCCAGTAATAATGTGGTACCAGTTTGACTGTGACCAACTGTGATGCCATGTTGGCCTTTTTCATTTTAATCTGACTGACAAAATACCCTATCTAGCTCCTGGCATTTTTCTAGCCATTAATTGTTTTAACTAACTTAATTCTGATTTGAATTATATATATTTTAATTAATCGTTGGTGTATATAAGTATAATATTACATATATGTCGTTAAGTATAATATTACATAACGACATTCAGTGGCGTAGCCAGGATTTTTAAATGGGGCGGGCTAACCACATTTTTTGAATAAGTAAGGTAAGAGAGGATATGAGAATTCACCCTTAACCCCCCCACCATCTACCTCCAAGTTTCTAAACGCATTTTAGTATAGTTTTAAAAATATTTATTAATATATAATTTATAATAATAAAAAATAATAATTTTGGTTTCAGTGTTCAGTCACTTGCTCCACTCTGACAGCTGCATTCTCTTAGGCGAATTTCTGGCAAATTCAGTTATTATTTCACTTTCATGGAATTGCTCTTTTTTATTTATATTAGCCATAGCTAATCCATTCAGTCTGTTTTCCGACATGGTGCTTCTTAAAAATTTTTTTAAGCGATTAAGTGCTGAAAACGTTCTTTTCGAAGTGAAAGAGATAACTGGTAACCTGGAGAATAATTGTAAAAGTATTTTAATGTTAGGTCGAAGATTGGTGCGATGAGAGAGTGAATCAAGAGCAGAATTTGGTTTTGGAATAGTATTTTGACTCCATTGTTGCCTCCATATGAACAGGTCAGCCCTGATTATAGATGAGGTATCATCATGGAGATCTTGGACATATATTTTAGCAGCTTTTATAATATTTTTATCGTCATACATATTTAAATTGACCGGAATAAGTCCTTCAAATGGCATAACATCAATAAGCCTTTGATTAAAACGAGCATTGATTCTATTAAATAGTCAAGATACATTATACATATAAACACGGCCCATGGGGGAGGCTATAGCCCTCTTAGCCCCCCCTTGGCTACGCCACTGACGACATTGATATCATGAGTTTTTCCCTTCGTTTTCGTTTTCACTCCATATGACATACCATAGATAATATAAGAATTCCTTTATTATCTATGGACATACCATATTTATGTTTATTATCATAACAAATTATATTTATCAGTAGTTGTTAACTACGAATCGGATTTATATTCATATCTACTTAAGATGGAAAATTTAGTTCCTTTCTGTGAATAGTTCATTAGTTCACAATTCATTCAAGTGAATAGTTCAAATGAACTATTCGTTCACGAACTTAACATCTCTAATATCTAGTTAATAGTTATCACTTGACATCTTGGACTAGTAGATCCTAGCTCGTGCAACGATTATAGATTCGTGATTAAAAAGACTAATTCACTATTTTAACATTTGTTTAGGTACTACATATTTATTTTATTTTGTTATTTTTATTACTTATTATTTTATTTAATTACTTCTTTGTTGTTTTAATGCTAGACTGCTAAGAAATACAAAAAAGGATAAACTATTAATTATGTTGATTAATTTTACTATATAAAAATATTATGATTGTTATAATATTAATAATTATTTTATAACTCATCAAAAGGCTGATTAAAAGACTAATTCACTATTTTAACATTTTTTAAGTTACTTATTAATTTTGTTTTGTTATTTTTGTTACTTATTACTTTATTTACTTGTTTTTTAATAATATTAGTTACTTGTAAAATATGACAAAAAGATTAATAGCTTTACTAAAGAAAAAAATGGAAATTGCCAACAATTTTAAAACTATTAATATTTTATTATTGCGTTAATATGTTCAGTGGCGGATTTAGCGTTTTGGCGCCCCTAGGCCTAATCACTCTTTCCCCCCTATCATTCTACTAAGGAACAAACAATATTTGGTCTAAACCCTTTTTTTCAAATTTTATTTAGTTTTTTATCAAAAAAAAAAAAATTTAATATTAAATCTTTAAAATAGAAAACTTCTAAAAATAAAATATTTCATGTCTATTATTTTTCTTCAGATACCATCATTACCAGTACAAATAAACAATGCTTATACAGTCACATAACGGAAATATAAATAGCCAGATATGAACATACCTATACTCGGATAGTCGAATGTTCCCAATAAGTACATAGGTACTAATAAGTTATTAATAATAACTAGTAACTAACTGTAATTATTTTATTACAAATGAAATATTTTCAAATCGTAATAATAATTGTAATATTCTTACTATAGCCTACTATAGTTACGCATCATATAATGTTCATATAAATATATTACTACTTATAACTTTTTAAATTTTTTTTTATTCGTGTTTATATGACAAATATAAAAAAAAATATATTAAAATAAATATACCTAATAAGTCAATAATAAAACTTAATTCTATAAAAAAAAAAGCCGCCCTAGGCTACAAGCCTTTTAGCCTGCCCCCTAATCCGCCACTGAATATGTTCATTATTAATCAATTTTTTTTAGCTGATTTCTGGTCTTTTGTGATAATACTCATAGCTTTTTAAAAAAAATTATAACTGGCAACACTGGTGACCAGTATTGTTTTGTTCATACTAGTAACTAGTTGCTATTCAAGTGTAATTTTAAATTTAAGTTTATACGCGTTATTTGTTCGTTTAAATGTTTCATATCACACCGATGAAATGTAAAATTGACCATGAAAGACGGTTTAAAAATTTTCAAAATTATAAAGATGATTTTCTACTTTTTAATGAGCCATGGTCTATAAATGTAGAACATATGAGGGAAATTTACAATTCGAGTTAATTGATTTGCAATGTAATTCTGTATTAAAATCAAAATTTGATACTGTTGGAGTTCCAGAAATTTTTAAATACCTTGTAAACAGTTATCCAAAACTAAAGAAACATTTTTCTAACATCCATATTATTCTTATCCATGTTCGGTAGTTAACAATTATCTTCTTCCATGAAATTGAACAAATCGAAAAGTCGCAATTAAATTTCAAATGTCAAATTATAATCTGATTTGCATTTGGAATCAAGAAATTCTTGTGCAAATATAGACAGCTCAGAAACGGCTTGTAAGCACTTACTACCGGGGCAGTGCCCCGGTAAAAATATTTTTTATATACATTTTGATTAAATAAATTAAAATTTAGTAGGCTTACCAGTATATTTTTGAATATATTTGAAGATACATAATTTACGTTTTAGCGTTTAAGTAGTTTTAATGTGATAAGAAGGAAGCCAATACAATTTTTCCTAGGTAGATGGGGTGGTTTAAATCATACCGCCCTGTAAGATATAAATGTTCAAATCGTCTCTGACAGCTTGGTACAAAAAAAAAAAATACGTCAAGCTTCAAGTGCAGCTCAAAAATGAAAATAAATAGTTACTCAAGATATTTTTAGATTTAAATTTAAATTTTTTTTTAAATTAACGTTCATCATATTATTTCAATGATATTTTGTAGTAATAATAAATGAAATAAACGGGATGTGCTAAATGATTGGAAACTAATTTTTTGATTGGAACTCTAAAAGTATAGAAAATAAAATTAAAGAATGCCAAGGTTTATGAAAATATTTTTTTGGAAATTAAAATATAATTGAATGAAAAAAAGATGTTAGAAAAAATTGATAGGAAAATAAATTATTCGAAACCTAAAATCATGAAAGATATTATACACAGAATATAATAACGAAAATAAATAATAAGAATTCCTTATTATTTAAAAATAATTTACAGGAAAATAAATAATTGGAAATCTAAAAATCAATGAAAATTATCATTGTACCTTAGATTGAAGGGCGTATATAGGGGCAATTGGGAATTTGCGCCTCCCCCCCATCACCGTTTTTTATTCTATAAAACACAATAATACGTAATCAATAGTAAATTATTTTTAAGTTTCTATGGAAGAAAAATGAGTGCCCTCCCATGATCACAACTCAGATACGCGCTTGCTTAGATCCCTAATACCTACCATATGCAGTAGCGGATCTACACACGGGGTAACTAGAGTGCCTTGATAGAGATCTACGATATTAGCTTTCCCCGTCTAGTGTTCTATTTTAAACCGTTCTTGAATTTTTTGATTCATCCATTAATATTTTCCATAAAATTAGTAAACCAATTTTTCTCTTTCCTTACTTTTATTTACCATGAAATTATTTTCAATCAAATATTTTTCCAGTTATTTATTTTCGGAACTTTTTTTTCAGTGAAATTATTTTCCAACATTTTATATGCTCCCAAATAAACAACTACTTTTTTTATATTTACATAAATAATTTTGGTAATAGTAATTTTAATAAAAGTAATTTCATAATATATTAAATCATTTAGATTCTAAATTTTAGAATATTTTAGATGAATGGAATTTTTATGTATCTTTGCCTTCAATTTTTAGTGTATAAGTAAAAAAGAGGACACTTAATATTTGGCCCGCGAACTTTGAAAAAATATATGGTGCATAGATAATTTGAGTTTGAGAACACTGGTCTAATAGATTACCTAGTATAATGTTAATTGTAATTTCTCATCTGATATACAAGTATTTACTCAACCACCTTCCAACATAATTATCTTTCTAAATTTAAAATGATAATCCATAATTTACTTGTAATGATTGTAACTTATGTGAATAAAGCAGCTTTATATCTTTTCCATGACCAAAGAATCCAATGCTTTGTTCTATTTGTTTAGCGGTATTTCCTAGTGCTCCTTCATAAATCATTAGTAATACCAACTTAGCACTTAATGTAGATACAACAGCATTTTTCTTCTCTGTGGCATGCAGAGCCTATTGATCAATCAAACCAATTTCAAAATTACTTAAAACTCTTATACAGTAAATAATATTCTTTGTACCTTGCATAGTTCCCAGTCAAAATAACGAGGGTCTGGGAATGAGGGTTTCGGTTTGGTACGAATCACTTCAGAATAATTTATTCGAGTGGCATTCCCCTTAATTGGCTTAGAAGCAAACACAGCAAGGACACAACAAAAAATAATTATCAAAGCAAAATTACCTAAAATTAAAGTAAACTCAAATCGGTATTAATTAATAAACTAGGGTTGTTAGCTTCAAAAAAAACTTGCCTTTCATCGTGTTTAACTTTCTTCAACAAAATTAACAATTGGATACAAAACCGAAAACTAGTAATATGCACTAAAATAAACTTAGGTTAACACAATAAACTTATTTATAATCTTTAAAAACGATGCGAAAGATAACCCTTATTACAACTTCCTGCACCGAGGTTGATTAGCTTACTGATTCTAGTTCTACATATTTGTTTAAAACTGACCCCACCTAAAGGTACAAATGTACAATTATTGACGGTCAAGTTGAAACATAAGTATGAACTGTATAATCAGCGGAACGGGATAGGATTCTAATAGATTAATGTAAATAATAAGTTTCAATATACTTTACTATTAATCATGCATGGATCAAAATATCATATCTTAGGTATTGACTAAAAATTTACAAATTTGTGATCACTTCCAAATAACCCACGAAAATATAAAATTCGTATTAAATAAAGACCTCATAAGTTTGGCGGTCAGACCATTGATACCAGACTCAAGGTTGGTTCACTTAACTGGTTTTACATTAATGCAAATATTAGTTACAAAACCAGTTTCTAAAGACAACCTCAGCGCTAAGGTACAATTACCTGTTAATCACCATCACCTTAACAGAAAATCTTTCTGCATACTTTTGTTGGTGTACTATAAGGGAATTCCATTTATTACATAAATAATAAACTATACACAACGTAAACGATGCTATTGTTCGAATTATAAAACCTGTTAAGATTATTTAACTATATTAAATTAACTCAAATGTTTTTATAGAAAATAAATATTAATTATAAAAGTAAAATGGATTTAAAAACTGCCCATTACATTTATTTAAACCACGAATTACAAATCACTTTACAGTTACTTTTCTCAACTTCAACTAGGACCATAGTTAAAATATGCAAGTACCTTCTAAAATTATAAAGTTTCAAATTTCTTTCTTGAAACTGACCAAATATAAATATATAGTATTCTTTTCAATGTAGGAGTACAGTACAGATTCATGATAACATGATAATAAATTTAAATTAAATTTAAAAGGTGTACATAAAGAGGAAAACTTTGGTACATGTGTAACAAATTTAATTTTATTAGTTTTGCTAATTAAAATACCTTAGTTAATTAAATCAGAATCAAATAAAATATTTAGACTTGGATACTTGGAACATTTTAATTAAAATAACATTTATTTAATATCCAAAAATATTTCTTTCCTTTATTTGAATGTTAAAAGAATGTCAATTAGATCCCTTTTATTTTTAAATTAAGAATTTAGAAAATACTTCCCAATCTATGTTGCAATTCAAAATTGTTTTTCTTGTTCTAAATTTTAAATTTCTTAACTGTAGTAACTATGCAAAACATAAATTTACTGTTATACATATATGAATAAGTGGGTGACATTTTCTTTTAGACTAAAAATCACTACTAAAACTTAAATTAAAGTATATAATCACCTTACATACATCATACAAATAAATAAGTGATTCTTTTAAAACATTAAACCTTATAAAAGAAAAAAATATACCAAATACGTTTTTTCTCCTTAATAATGATACACATTTTATACCAAACAACATTCATGTGCATTTCTTTAGATATAAGTTTCAAAATACAAAATGTTCTGTAAAATCGATAATTGGTACTTTATCTACGGTATTAAACATAAAAATGAACTACTAGTCAAATGGTTAGATTAAGTGTACAGTAAGTTAAAATGGATAGAAAAAGACTGAATTGTCATAATAAAAAAAATTTAATAATAGAGGATTTAATGTATTTCCTTAATCATCTCCAGATTGTGGACTGGCATCACCATTTTTTTCTCTTGATGGTGAACGGGATTTTTCATCAGGTGAACGTGAATCGCGCCTAAAATAAAAAATAAATAAATTATTTCATTCCACAATACTTCCTATATATTTATAATGCATTTTCAAGCCTATTGTATTGGATACAATAAACATATTGTAAGTTGTTCATTATTTTAAGCACTTAAATGCTGAACAATATTTCACAATCTAAGATTTATAGCATGGTCTATTCAAACTCCAAAAAACATCAAATCATATACACTAGTTTTAAAATCTAGAGATTGATCCACAATGTTAGAATTTAACAACAAATATGATTTAAAATAATTGGTTGAACATACTTAATACGCTTATTAGATATTGATTGTGAGCGTGACTGGGATCTTTTTTTGTCAATAGATCCTGAGCGAGAACGTGATTTGGAATGAGCCGGCGATCTAGAAATAAAAATTTTAATTTTAAAAGATACTTAACACAACAAACACAATAATTTATTATTTATTTAAATAAAATAGGCAAGATGGCACCCAATATCAAGCATTTAGCTAAGTGGCATTATTACTGAATAAATTTATACTTTAATAAGAAATAAAAAAAAATTTGATCTAATAATTTATTAATACTATTGTACATACTTATAAGGAGATTTTGAACGAGAATCAGACTTTGACTTGGAATGGCTGCGTGATCTACTCCTAACAAAATAAAATATATTAAAAAGGGATATGAGTACAAAATAAATCATATATGGTCACACTATATTTATTTAAATCTTACCTTGAACGAGAGCGTACACGGCGACGTGAGCGAGACCGGGACCTAGAACGGGAACGAGAACTTGAAGGACTACGACTACGTCTTCCTCCACGTCCACGACTACTACTTTTATCTTCTTGAAGTATAATGCGACGGCCATTCAATTCTGTGTCATCCAATTTATCAATTGCAGTCTTGAGATCCGAATATGACGCAAACTCTACAACACTATACAAGAAAAATAATGTACATTATCGTTGAAACTAATAATACAATTTAAGTAATTACCCTTCATTCTTGCGTTGCTTATGTGCATCAGCATAAGTCACTTCTCCAGCTTGACGCATGAAGTCCTTTAAATCCTATATTTATACAAATAAAGTAAGAGTAAATAATAGTACAATATTTCATATTTAAAATCTATATAAAAAAAATGATTATTTTTTTATAACTACATTAATTCTACGCCAAATACAAGTGTTTTTAAAATGGGATTGTTTTCAGAAAACTTCACTTGAAAAACGTAAAAATGATAGGAAGAAAGTGCTCATTTGCTGTTAGTGAAGATGTTTATACATAAATTGGGGCATGTTGATTGATTTTAGTGCTTTTGATGATCGTATGGCCTTGTTGTTTGATGACTGATACCAAATTCTTTTTTGATACTGCTTCTTCAAGATCCTTAACTCGTTATCAATTTGTTTTAAATTTTTCAAAATATTGTTTGAACATTTATTTTACAGCCTAACAAATACCAAACATTGTTTATGTTATTATTTAAATACATACCTCTTAAACACTTGGAATGGTATTGAAAAGCGACTCGGTCTCGGACCTTGTGTGGGGCGACATGAATGGGGGGTTAACCAAATTGGGCAGCTGATCGGCTTGTATTGTTGGGAACACCTTTGGTGGTTAGGCCGATCATCCTAGGCCCGGAATGGAATGTGTGATATCGTACTGTGATCTTTTGTGGTATTGGCCTATGTGCCTGATTGTGCCATTCTTATGTTATCGGCCAACGATCAAGCGTTTAATGTCATTGGTATGGACATCAATCGAACCCAACACATTGTGGTGGCTCTTTAGAAAAATAATATTACATTTTTTTTCATTTTTTTTTTTTTCATTGTTTACGATTAAAAATAATTTGTTTCCTTAAAACAAAATTTTCTTAAGCCATTCACTTTATGTTACTAAAATTAAAATTAATTAAACGAGTAAATCTTTTAATAGCATTATCGTTCAATGGGCAATAAAGTGAATGGCAACACAATTTTATGATGTCCTTAAGATAGCAGGGTAATTTAATACATGTTATGTTAAACCTTAAGATAGATTGCAGGCTCTTTCCTCAAATAATATTATTGATGGAACATTTATCAGCACCTCACAAAAACAAACCACATGTGAATAGAAAGTTCAAAAATGAATAAATCTCCAAAATTAACAAATGGCAAGACATAAGTAATTTAAAATATAAAATGTCAACAAATATGAAGTAAATACCAATGAAGTAATACAAATTCACATGATAATGATTTCTTACCTGCCAGCTAACTCGACTTGACAAATTTTCAACTATTAATCTATAATTTGTTCTTGTTGGTGGTCCATACCTATCATTTCTGTCATCCCTAAAATTCATATAAATATCATTTAAATGAACAGTTGAAATATATATTTTAAGACTTTTAATATAATTATTGGAATAAAATCAATTGGGAATTATCAAGAAAAAATGTATTTAAGTACATAAATTAAATTACAACAAAAGTAGTGACTTTATAACTAAGAAACAAATATATGAAACTTTGAAAAAAAAACTGCGAAAAATATTACCATTATAAGTTTTAATAATTAATACATACTATATTAACAATATATAATACACAAACCACTAAATAATTGAAATCAATACTAGTAAAATATATCTGAATTTTTTTTTTATCGATCTTCAGTTAACTTCAAATCAATAAATAAAAAAATTAAAAATATTAACACTTTAATTTTACTGAAAATTTGAAATTTGAATACTCCTTAATACACATTTGTATAATAATGAAAATCATGCAATTATATTTTCATATACAAATTTATCTTAAATTCAATATTTATTTTTAATAAATCATAATATAGAAATTTTTAAATAGAAAAAGAAACGTATTTAACACCATAATTTTTTGACCAAAAAATAATCAACTCAATATAATTGGAACAAACATTATCAAACATAAATATTTACTGAGGGATGAATCTTTTAATTCTAAAAATAATAAAATCTACAAGTTATAATTAATGCTATAAAGATAAAGCCATAAAAAATATTAAAGCACAAATTAGCAAATTAGTAAAAATGTATATTCATACCTAGCATCACGACGAGGTCGTCTGGGTGGTGGTGGTGGTAAATCACCACCTCGCCCTGAACCACGCCAAACATCACTGCCCCTTGGTGTTCCACGAGCTCTTTCAACTGAAACTCTGCAAAATATTATTAGTTTACATTATAACTTATGATCACTTGAAATATATACGATTTACCTGATATAAAAACATTTTTTTTCTTTAAATATTATTTAATTTACAAATTACTAAATTTATTTTAACAAATTATAAATATAAAATTAAAAACATTGTGTCTGATCAACATTTCACACTCAGAATAATATTTAAAACCAATGATTCATTGCTAAAGACCTTCTCTAACCCAATATCTAATTTTTTTTGATAATTGTTTTGAATAATTTAACGTCAAATAATAATTTGAATTTTTTTTTTTTCATATTAAGATCTCATCACCAAAAATAAAACTAAATATTAAACCATAAAAATAGTATTAAAATAAAAATATACCTTTCACCATTAAGTTCACGACCATTCAATTCATACACAGCATCATCAGCATCACGATAGTCATCAAATTCCTAAAAAATTTTTTTGTTAAATAACAGTAAAATATAACAAACTACAAAAATTTATACTACCTATTTTCATTGTTTTATATATACTGAATAATATATTACTTACAATAAATCCATATCCATTTTTAAGCAATATTTCTCTAATACGGCCAAATCCCCTGAAAAACCTTTCAACATCCCTTTCTCGCACTCCATAAGGCAAATGGCCAATATAAACTCTTGAACCACTTCCCATACTGAAAATAAATTAAAATAAATATGTACACTTACCACAAAAGCATATCCATTCTTCATAGCAATATCCTTGACTCTGCCAATTTTCTGGAAAAATCTCTCGAGATCCCTTTCGCGAACGCGATGAGACAGGCCGCCAACAAACACCCTAGTGCCATTACTCATTCTGACCTCTTTGGATCAGTCACCAAATGATTAGATAGAAGGTACTTCTACAGCAGGATAGGCTTATCCAGCTCCTGATAACAATGACCGTATTCAATATTATATAAGCCACTATTAATAGGTAACATCACATTTAAATACTTTATGTATTTGTGGATATAAAATATGTTTATGGGATAATTAAAATGCAATGAAACTTTAGAATTTTGATGTAAGAGGTACTTATAATCATAACGGTCATTGAATATAATTTATTATGGCTTACTTTTAAGATAAAAAGACCATTTAAATGAAATCTAACATCAAAGAAAAAAACTATCAAGACAAAAATCTTGTTAAAATTTTTTTAATATTAAATTTATAAACAGATACGTTAATAACATTTATGAGTATAGAATGTGAAATGAATGATCTAAATATTGTAGTACCAAACTCATTACTTAATAAATTCTAATATAATAACTTAAATGTTTTAATAAACAAACTTATATCACTTAGAATATAGCATTGCTTGACTGAGGACATTAAAATTTTAATTAATAATTTCTAAACAACACTTTAAATTAATGAATCATTAAATGATATTAATAGTATAATAAACTCAAAAAAATTGCAACCATTATTAAGAATTAATTCCAGATTTAAGACTTTTATCAGTTACTAAATATGCAAACACCACCCAAGAAAAATATGAAAAATTAATTTTATTTTTGGGTTTAAAATGCATAATTTATAACTAAAAAATGAATATTTATAAAAAAAATAGAGTAATAATACTGAAATTGTTGTCCATGATAAAAGAAAAACTTCAATAATAAATAATTAAGTATATTAAAAATTGAATAAATGCATGAAATATAATAATAAAAAGCATTGTATTTACTGATAAATTGAACTTCCAAAACAATTACAAAATTAAGAAAAAAAAAAAAAAAA